AATGAAACTACTAATAATCATTCACGTGAAATTGAACCTATAAATGAAACTACAAATAATCATTCATGTGATATTGAACCTAAAAATGTAATCTCTAATGAGAGTAATGTTTTAGAAAAATCAGATGAAATAAATTTAGACGAAGTAAGCGAAGAAATAAATGAACTATCAAAAAAATCAAAGAAAAAGTCTAAAAAATCGAAATCCGAAAATGACATTAATGTTGATGAAATTTCAAACAATGATAATAAAAGTGATAATGTAGCTATAGAAAATCTTAAAGTGACTGATGATATCGATAATGAAGAAGCTGCAATGGATAAAAAAAAGAAACGTAAACGTAAGAGAAAAAGTAGGATTGATGATAATAATATAAGCAATATGGGATTACAAATAATGGCTAAAAAACATTGGAAGCATTTAAGAAATAAATATTTAGAATTGCAAAGAAGCAAAATGAAACAATTGAAGCAACATTTGAAAAAGACAAGAGATCAATGGAACAATTTTGATAAGACAAAATCAGATAAAGAAGAAATTGAAGAGAAAGAAAAAATATCTAACATAGACAAAACTACTATGCGTTCATTTTCTTTTACACCAGGAGTAATAGTAAAGATTAAATTAGATGAACCGTGCACTGATGCAAGAAGTTTAAAGGTTTGTACATACATTTGCATGACTTTAATTATTTTTCTAGAAAAATAACTAAATATATATAATTATAAAACAATTCAAAGCATTTTGTCAAATTGAATTATACAAAGCAATATCATTTAGGCGGAGTTGAAAGGTAATAACAGTATAAAATACATAGACGTGTCAGAAGGTGCAAGTGAAGTGTATGTTAGATGTGACACACCGGAATCAGCTCAATCATTTGTTCAAAAATCTAATAAAGAAAATAATATGGTTGTACTAAAAGGTGAGGTCTTTTTTGTAATACTTTTTAAATAAATGTAAAATATATTATACAAATTAGTATAACAAAAAAAATAACAGTTTATTGAATCATTACAGACGATGATGAACGTATCTATTGGGATAAAATATTACAAGATAGAGAAGAAAAATTAGGTAAAAAGGTTAGAGTTAAACAAAGAGGGAGAAGTAAACTTCTTAAGAAAGCAGAGAAAGAATTAGGGAAACATATTATATTTGATGAAGTTGACTAAATTTATGATTTCTGGTATGCATCGCAAACATATGTTCTTATACATATAAATGAAAATATTTTTTTTTTGTTACGATATACATTAAATATTATTTTTCTTTGTAATGTAATAATTAACACATTGAACGTGGAGTCGATTTTGCTCTGCTTTCCGTTTAAATGGCACACTGCAACTATTACTCAGTAAAGTGTTCGGTTATAAAGTATAAATAAAACATAACACACACTGTCGCAGTGATGATTGTCTTTCATTGTCTTTTTGGGCTACGGGATTAGAGTAGCTAATGTAGAAATATAAAAAGTATAAATAAAAGATAATCACTATATCAATCCTTAAGGAATGACGACGCGCTTAATGTGTTAACCATTTGAATGCTACAGATCTCTACAAAAATCGGATCGAAAAATGCCGAACAGCGAAATAGAAATCTGTTAGAATAATGAGAAAATATATCGAATGTGTAATTACTTTCGATTACTAGTTTGATGTGCTAGTACTTTTAGATGTGGAACAGAAGAAGTGCGACGCTTGTCACTCAAACGGTTAAAGATTATAAAATCAAATGAATAATAATTAAAACTTTAAAATACTTTATATTTGTTTTAGTTCAAATACATTTTTATACATAAAAATTAATGTCATTCTATTTATCTAAAATATCTTACAATTTACCATTTTCCTCTACCACGTCCTCCTCTACCAGAATCACGTCCAAATCCACCACCTCGTGAACCTCTAAATCCTCCTCTACCACCACTACCACCACCACCACCACCACCACCACCACCTCTACCGAACGAACTCCTTCCTCCTCCACCGCCTCTACCACCTCGTCCACGAGATCCTTTACTTATACGTCCACCACTGGCACCTCTCCTTTTTTCACCTGGAGGTTTTGGTAAAAATCTTTGCAAAGGTAACAATTTTGCTGGATCTATAAAAAGCTGATATATAAAGTATATTTTAATAGATAATTATTAATCAAATTATTGATTGTATATATACTGTACATATAGGAAAAAAGTCTTACTTGAGTATTTTTGTCAAAACTAGATGCTTTAATGTTTTCTGATAATCTTATTGATACATAATAATCTCTAATATTTCCAAATATTTCATCTATTTTTCCAATTTGTTGTTTATTTTCTGTATAGATAGGTGCATTGAAAAAGGGAACTTGTTCAATATCTACTTTAGCAACAAGATCATCTTGTGCGGTCCATGTAAAATAACCTAGAGGAGAGATTGTTTCAGGAGGGCCTTGATCATATCTAGAAGCATTTATAAAACAAAGTTATGAAAGAAATAAAAAATTAAATAAGCACAACATATATGAACCATTCACAGACCTAAGTGACTAATTCCAATTGGAAACTTTATTACAATAGTATTATCATAACGCTTGTGTGTGTGTGATCAATATATAATTTTTTGTATTTAAAATAAATTTTTTTAATAATTAGACTTTTAAGCGCTACATAATAAATAATACGGCAATGTATATTATTTTATCAATTTTCTTTTTGTTTCCTTAAGTTAATCAATTTGGTATATGAGTGTCCCATATTTAATTACATTTAAATAATTACCCTCTTGAACCTCTATCTCCACCACCTCCACGTCCGCCTCTACCACCACGAAATCCTCCACCTCCTCTTCCAAATCCTGCCCCACCACCTCTGCCAAATCCTCCACCACCACCGCGACCACGAAATGACATATTGGTATTTTTCTGTAATAAAAATAATTCTTTAAAATATGTTTTATTATTTTCTTTTTTTCCAGCTAATAAGAATCATACAAGAGTGGTTTGGAAAGTTTCAAGCTTTAACAAATATTTTTTCTTTTTCTTTTTAATAAAATTGAGTTTGACGAAACAAAAAATTATTTCTATGTTAGGCACGAAACTTTTTAACTCACCCACGTATACTAGTACAGTAATAATAAAATCTAAAATAAAGTATTATGTTCTTAATTCAAATGTTAGGTTAAGTTTGGTAATGGATACTAGAGCAATATATTTTCACATATTTTTAACAAAATAATTCATTAACTTATACACATATCACTTGTGTGATATAAAATTAAAAATTGTTCATAAATACCTGTTATAAAACGATATTTTTTTTTGTAGAATAAACCACGTGTGCTGATTTTGTTTAACCCGTGTTAAAAGCGCAATAAACTGATACAAATTGTTATGAACTTATTAATTATTAACATATTACTTTGTATAGTTTTTTATAATTATTTATCGTGTGTAAAAACTTAACACACAAATATAAAATAATAATATATATTTAATTTAGCGGTAGTCTTAACATACGTGATATTAATGTTTATAGAACTCGACAAACAATAAAGTAAGGTTATATCGATTCAAATTTCATTGGTCTTTCGTCGCTGCCCATTATGACATGCGCAAGATCTCTTAAGGTGCCCCCTCCTAAATTTTTCGAGTACAGGACAGTTTTTAGCTAGAATACAAATAAATATAACAAGAATTTTCTTTATATTAGATTTACAACTAGATTTCATTATTAATATAATTAGAAAATAAAGTAATAATTACATTTTTAATTTGATTATATTAATATTATATTATATTACCGACAATATTTTTGTTTCACAGCGCTCCCTGTTATGACGTCTTTGAGGAGCATATCTAGTTGTGGCGACCCTGGTCACGGTACTCTATACCAAAAGTTTCAGTGAAAATCTATTTTAATTGCTTTTATTATATAAAACGTAGTTTATTTTCGTTAATTTCATTTTCAGTATATAAAACTCCTAATAAATAATATATTTTTTTTTATTATATAGCGTATATTACAAAATTTATCAAATAAATGTCCTTGTTCTATTTAAAAAATATAGGATATTATTTAATTATAAATATATCTTAAAATACATAAGGTAATTTTGTAACTATTCCTGGTTTTTGGAAAAATAATGTCATTTATGTATTTGGTAAAATGATAATAATGTTATTAAATATTTACATTAGGTATTATCAAATTGTATCACAGCCCATAATATATAAATCATTACAAATGTTACCTAAAATGTGATACAAGTATTTTAAAAAGTACAAAATACAAAGCAATTTTACATTATGAATTTACTGTGAGTATAAAAAATTAGCTATACTTAGACAATATTTAGATATTTTGAACAGTTGGATTTAAAAAGTTGGTCATTGGTTTCATATTATACGCTTCTTGAGAATCATCTGCATAATCTTTTTGCTGTTTAAGAACACGTTTATAAAATTCTTCAGTAATATTCGGTGTTGGCGGATGTAAGTAATCTCTTACGTTAACATATTTTGGACCACCAAATGTATCCAAAACTGCGATAGATATCATTTTCAATTTGGCGAAATAGAAGTGGTGATCTGAAAATAATATTTGTACAATATTTGTGCTTGTATTAGCGCATTCACATAGATCAATAATCAATTATACCTGCAGGCATATTCTCCAAAGCAGGATGACGTCCAAAGACAGCGCTTTTTGCTACATCTAACTCAGGACTATCATTTTTTATCTGTAAATATTATATTAGTATATTAGGTATTTATTTATATATTAATTCTTAGTTAAAACTTTTTTATTTATTTGTTTACTAACTGTTTTAATTTTTCCAGTAAGTATTACTCTTGCACAACGTGGATCCATTGGATCCCATATTTTTCTTCTGCAATAATTTCCTTGAGCTAATGTCATAAAAAGTGTAGCTCGATTATCTTTCTATAATCAAAATAATATATTTGATTAATACCTATCATATATATTTTATTTTGTATTAAGAAAATTGCGTAGAATAAGTAATGATAGATTATTATTTTGAACTTTAACAATAATGATATTTTTTGTTATCACTTAGCTGTAAAAAACGTACAGCTAAATCTTTTGCCGTAAAGTCCAAAGGTGTAAGATAAAGATAAGGTATTCCAGATCCATTTCCTAACCGTCCATCACTAAAGGAAATTAAATTAACTGTTGGAAACGTTTCAATATCTTTTCGTGTGCTTATAGTTGCTACAGAGGTCCAATCTAAAAATATATTAATTTCCTAATAAATAAAGAATTAACATATCACGAAATTCTTTAACCTTTTCAATGGAAATAATCATTTAAAAATTATGATACGTGAAAAAATGATATTTTAAAAATGTTTGATAAAATCATATTGATGACATGCACTTATGTATCTCGAATGAGATAAAATCAAAATGGACATTGTTTTTTTTTAGATGAAGGCTATAAAAATAATAAAAAGAAAATAAAATGATAAAATTATTTTTAGGAATTTATATTTTTATTTATGTTTTAAATTTTAAAATATAAACTTTTGAAATCATAGTTAAAAATATAACAACGATTTCGGAAAACGAATAGTTTTTTATTTCAAGTGATCTACAATTAATGAAGAATGTCAACTGATATCAAGATATATCCGTGCTAGTTGACTATTTTTAGGAATATAAGGATAACTGGCAAGGTTTCTTACGATCGAGGACGATCTCTTGTGAAATCCATTTCAAATAAGGAAATTGTTAAAATCATGCGATATATATTATAAATAAATCTATTAAATCTTTTAATCGTTCTAATGAAATTATACGCATTTAAGAACAATTAGAATATTTTTGTTTCCAAGGTAATCATCATTTATATGTTTTTCATAACAGCTGGGAAATAAGCAAAAATATATGATCAATATTTATATATTTTTTACGTGCGATTGAATGAATGCCAATATCATCCATACGAGACTAATATTAATTCTAATAATGTTCAATTATGCATATAGTTTTTATATCTATGTCCATTTCTTGTGAACTATGTCAATATTAAAAATAAGCGGGAATACTCAATAACTCAAATTACATCGATAAATACATTCTCTACTTAATCTTCAAAAATGGTCAATATTTGTATTTCAAAAAAAAAAAAGATAAATAATTTAGTTAAAACTTATTCGACAAAACTTTACGAAATCCTTATAAAAATAATTCAGAATTTAATTAATCAAAAGCAACAGTTTTATTACAATATTTAAAGATAAATTTAATTACGTGATATAAATAAAGTCGTACGTAAAAGTCGATGCGTTGAATCAATAATACATTGGAGGAAGAAAAATATTATTTGGAATGTAAAAAATTATCGAAGTTATCATTTATTGTGAGTAAACATTAGTAAACATTAATGAATACATACCAGCTTGATTAACAATAAATCTTGCCATTAAAACGGCGTCTTCGACCGGAGGTGGATCTTGTGATCGTCTATCTTCCTTTCCATAATTTTTTATTGAATCCGAATTATAATTATCATTAAAACCAATCGACATTTTATTTCCATTTTCTTTCATTTTTTTCCATTCGAGAAATTCTTCAAATTCTTGCCACTCTTGATATACATCACGATTTTCATTGTTGTACTTTTTTGCTTCGATCATTAAGATCAAGAAAGCGATAAAAATAGTCGCTGGGAGAATTATTTTAATACTTTTTGCACAATTCATGATGACGATTAGACAAACTCTAAGGTCAGATATATTATCAAATATAAAGCTTACAAGAATATCTTTTTTCTTATTTTCGCAAGTCTCGTTCGAACATCTCTACGCGGACGATCAAATTGCAATGACTGTTAAGTTTGCTGATCCCAATCGAAAACTTTCCGTTACCAAAAATACTTTACTTTTGATTGAGTACGCATGCGTAATAATTAAAGTAACAACAAATAAATACAACAAATAATTCATTAATTTTCACATTTTTAACATTTTAGATTTTATTAATTGTGGTAAATATAGAAAGAAATATTTCGGTTTTTATATTTCATATTAAACATCACTTATATTATAATATTATCATTTGTTTATTCACTATTCTATCTTATGTTTTTTATACAATACATGGCGGTTCTTTCAAAATTAGATCAGTAGAAGCTTAATGTATTTTTAAAATAAATAACATATTACATATTTTAATGTTATGTAATTTATATCTTTATATAAATATCTATACTAACATCTGCATATAAATTAACAATCTTTCTGTGATGTTTCAGATAATATTTTTCTTCTTGTAACATGTTAAATGTTAATTAAATAATGTTATTGACAACAAACTATATCTTAGCAGAGATGAACAAACTATTATTTTTATATAACAAAGAAGAGTTATAATATAGGACATCATTTTTTTAAATGTAATATGTCTATTTTCTATGTTGTTTTTTTTATTGTATGAATATAGTTTACATCTACATTGGAACGAGTCTGCTATTATTAATAATGTGTGAAATATTTAAGTGTAAAGATTCACACACACAAGAATTAATGAATTTCACAAAGTAACGCCATATGTATATTAAATAGAAACAGGTTACCCAGCATTCTATTCATTTATGTGAAGTATGGTCTACGTAACATGGTGTAATACTTAAATGAATCACCGATAGAAGGGTACAAAAGGAGGGCCGCTTATCGAAGAATTCAGTATAACAAACGCTATCGTGGAAATACCATAAAATAATTAAGTTAAGTTTCTAACAAATTGGACTAATTGTGTGGCCATAAAAGAAAAATCAGCTTGTTGAAGGTTTGGCATAAAATTTCAATTTTCTTTTATGTTTGAATTTGGTTAAATAAGTTATATTTCCATTTATAACGATCAAGTATTTTGAGTTGATATAAGGTATTAATATTAAATAATAAACATTAAATTAAACAATATAGTTTTTGGTGTATATCTTAGATTTTGTCTTTTAATTTTTAAAAATATTTTTAATGATTACACAATATGTGAAATAATTGATCACATCATGTGTCAGTTTAGATAACTTTAAATTTCAATTGCAACATGTAAAGCAATTTTTACGTCCTCTGTCATACGTGCATTAGAGATTACTACTTTGAATTTAACTAGTTTTAAACTTTTGTTTCGAACGATACTATGAGATTGTTATGTATATTTATAGAAAGAGAAAGAGAGATAAAGTGTATGTAGATAGTAATTATGCATATATATCTTTATACTATTATATTTTACATATTATATTTTTTATTATATTTATACGAATATATTTTGATACAATTTAAAAAATTCAATAACTTTTTGTTTACATTACATGTTTGTTATAAATATATCAAATTGTTTAATTTTAAATATTATTTTATTTCAGATTATTTATAATACAATTTCAAAGAATCAGTCATCTTCTATATAGACGAAATGGATAATAATTTATCAAATAATTTATGTAATGCTATTGAAAAGAGAGATTTAAAGAAAGTAATAGATTTGATTTCTGAAGGAGCTAATGTCAATGCTTGTGGTCATACTGGTATGTTTCCTTTGCAAATCGCTATAAAAAGGGAATCTAAAGAGATCATAGAAGAACTTATATATAAAGGTGCCAATGTTGATATTGAAGTTCAAAATAAAAAACTTGTAGAATATGCAATGGAAGAAAGTAACATCGATATAGTTAAATTATTAGTGGAGAAAGGTGCCACTATTAAATTTCATAATAATAACGAAGAAAATATTCTACGCTATCTTATCAAGAATGGCATGTTAAAACTGCTACAGTGTATTATTGAAGAAATTAATATTAATTTCCAAACACAGGATGGTCATACACTTTTAATTATGGCAGCTGAAGAAGGACAATTGGAAATTGTTAAGTTTTTATGTAATATGGGTATTAACATAAACGCACGCAGTTCTAGAAATAGTACAGCATTACATTTTGCCATAGGAAATTCATCTGCTCCGAAATTGGAAATTGTACAATTTCTCATTGATAATGGTGCAGAAATTGATGTACAAAATTCATTTGGTTATACTCCATTACAAAATGCACTCTATAACAATAATTTGGAAGTAGCTAAACTTTTAGTAGAAAAGGGTGCTGATGTAAACAGAATTTATATGAATACCCATTATGCTCGACAGAGATTAGGAGGTACACTTTTACATTGGGCTTGTCGAAATTATAATTCAGATCAAGCAATAAAATTCCTTATTAAAAATGGAGCAAATATTAATGCTACAGAATTCGATGGTAGAACACCTCTTTGTTTATTAGTAAAACACGGTGGAACTCCAGAAATGGTAAAATTTTTTGTAGAAAATGGTGCATATCTTAAGAATACAGGTGGCGGTAGTCCATTATATTGGGCTATCTATAGCCGTAACATACAATTACAAACCTTATTAATAGAATTAGGTACAGATGTTGATGGTAATATAGACAGCCATGAAGGTTCCAAAGCACCATTGCATTTAGCATACGATTTATCTATAGTAAAACTTCTAATAGATAAGGGAGCCAATGTAAATATTAAGGATAAGTATGGCTGCACACCATTACATTGTGTTTCTAAAATTTCTTTAGCAAAATACCTCATGGAAAATGGTGCTGATATTCATGCCAAAAACAATGATGGAGAAACACCTTTACATAAAGCTTCTCATTTTCTTATAGTGGAATATTTAATAGAAAAAGGTGCAGATGTTAATATTCCTAATAAAAACGGGTATACACCATTGCACTTTGCCAGAAACTTAATTATGGCAAGACATTTGATAGAACACGGTGCTAATATTAAAGTCGTTACGAAAGATGGAAAATCTGTATTACATGGTATTATTGAAGCACATTCAGATTTTAATACAAGTTTTGACGAGATGTCAGATTTGATAAATTTTTTAATTAAGAAAGGTATAGATGTTAACGCTACTGATCAAAATGGTAATACATTATTGCATTTGAGTGCTGAAGAAAATAACACACAGGCAGCGATTGTATTGCTTGCAAATGGTGCAAGTATTTCTGCTACTAATATTGAAAATAAAAAACCAGCAGATCTTGGTTACATGTTATCAACTCTGATTGCTAATATAGAAAAAATATTTGATGCTGTGAAAAAAAAAGAATCTTGGAAAACTATAGAATCTTTATTGATACATAGAATACGATGCTTTCATATTACATTAGATGATTTTAAAACAACTATATTACATTCCATGGTGATAGAAAATAATAAAAATATGGTAGAAAATTTGTTTAACACATTAAGGAGAAATAGGATTAATTGCATTACTAAATATAATTTGGTAAATGCTCGAGATAAAAATCAGTGGATGCCTTTACATTATGCTGTAAAAGGAGGAAATGAGACGATTGTTACATATTTATTGGACAATGGTGCAATATATAATGCTGACGCTTCTAATAAACCAATATTACTTACTGATAATTTTAAAATTAAAAATATACTTGAATTAACAGAAAAATTGTTTGAATATATAAAATTAGGAAATGAGACAAAAGTTGCTGAATGTATACAAACACAAAAAGAAATTATCAATGCTAGACAGAATAATGGCAATACTCCTTTACATGTTGCTATTTATTATGATCATTTCAATATTGCAAAGCTGCTATTAGATAAAAAAGCTGATTTTTCTCTAATTAATGATACAAGAGATACAGTGTTACATTTTGCTACTGTCAAGGGTTATGAGGTTATAGTCGAAACTTTACTAGAAAAAGCTAACAAATTACATGATATTGTCAATGTAGAAACAGTAAATGGCATGACTGCACTTCATTTGGCTGCGAAACACAATTCTATAAAACTTGTAAAACTTTTTTTGAGTTATGGTGCAATTTATAATGCAAAAAATGAAGATGGTCAAATGCCGATTGACTTATCTACGGATAAAGACATAATGGATTTTTTCAAATTTATAAATGAATTATTTGAAGATGCAAAATATGGAAGAACTGAAATTATAAATAAATTAAACAATTTAAATAACGACGATTTTCACGCAATTCAAAATCTTCATAATCGGCAAATGTATACATTGATGGATATTGTAAAATTTAATGAATATGATAATATTGCTGCAGAATTTTTAAAACTAAATTTAGTTAAATTGGAAACAAAAAAAGGGCTATCTAAAACAGCTGAAAAAAATGAATATTTCAGCGACAGCGACGAGGAAGATCTCGGCTTTGGTTTATTTGATTAATTTAAAATAAAATATATGTATATTTATATTTTAATTTATTATATTTGTTATACAAATATTTTTATATCAAAAATGTTGAAAATTTAAAGCTAAATTGAACTTGTATTTTAAACACTTCGATTTTCATTTCTATTTTTGATAGACAATGAAAAAATATTGTATGAAATATATTATAATTTTTATATAATATACTATAATTTGTTTATTATTTGATTAGTGAATATTTTTGTATAATTTAAACATTAATTGTGAATATTTTTACGGATTTTAAATATTGCAGTATTCGTAAACAGATAATTTATATTTCGTTGATAATAACGGTCGCAAGTGTCATCTGTCGGTAATGTTGTTTGAGCTCCTGTAATAGGCAATTTGTAACGCGTGTTGCCTACATTCAGGTGTAACACATATTTGGATATCGAATAAGAAACATGAAGATCTAAATAAGAATTTTCAATATACAGTTTAATTTATTTGAGTGATAACTGCTTGTTATGCTCTTTAAGTTATTTAATGATTAAAGAATTTACTGCAATCGATTTTAAAAATCGAAGCAATATTGATTTTAGTTAAAGATGATGTTTATTTAACAATTGTCTGATTTGATTGGATTTTAAGTATCCATAAGATGATATTGTAAAAATAAAAAGACTAAAAATTACACCAATACATTTTTCGAATTTGATGTAGAGGGTAAGGTTGAGGAAACTAGCACGTTGTTCGGCCCTGAGCTGCTCCTGTAATGTAGGTCGTCGTCTAACTGTTCCGCGTACCGTTCTGTCGAGTCCATACACGTCCATTAGTTTGGTCCAACTTGGCTCTTTCAACTCTTCCTCTCTGCTTACGATATTTTTCTACGAAGAGGAAAAGTTGCGGATGATAATGCCGATGATTATCTTCATGGAATGAAAACAATATCATTCATTATTCCATGTTATGTTCGAGTGCAATTGTCAATTTTATATACAAATAAATGTATTAGCTTACGATTATTAAAATAACTTTGTTCATTATTCAATGTCTGTTGCAATCGTCGGTTTTGCATAAAAGTATATTTTATTAATTTATGATTAATTAAAGTATTGATCATTCAATATTTCTCTCTAAAAGATTCTGAAAAAGTAAACAATTAATTAATTTATAAAACGTAGATTAGCATCGTAAAAAATGTCTAATTAAATATTCAAATGAAATATAATGATGAGGTATATAATACTATCTAATAAACAATATTTTTTCTATATACATTTTCAAAAAAACACACATGATTATATTAGAATCAATCGGAATGCGCAAATGCTGGAATTGAAGATGCACATATCGATATTTAGATAAATTGATCGAGCTAAAGATTGAATCACGAACGAAAAACTCATTCGTATTGCAATGCTTCTCTTTATGAACGTCATCGCAAGGAACGTCGCTTTCTTCAGGCACCTTTTCCTCTTCCACCTCTTTTTCCTCTTCTTCCTTCTCCTCTACCTCCTTCTCTTACACAGTTTCGTCCTCATGCTACCATCGGTGGCCTCTACATCGTCGTCTTCGTGCTACCATCACAATGTCCATCTTCTTCAGTCGACGCGTGACCTTCTCGCAGACCGTAGAGAGAGAGTTTCCGTGAACTGCGAGTGTTTGATCCTTAAAGGTGAGCGCCGCATCTTTCCAGGGCGGTTGGCTCTCGCTTTTGCGTCTAAAGAAGAAGAGGGACAAGTCCCTCGAGATCTCGATCAATCATCCACCAAGTTTCCCCTTTTTCTCTATCTTTCTCTCTCTCTCTCTCTCACTCTTTTATCTCTTTTTCTCTTTCACGTAATATATCAAAGAATACAGCAACATCGGTCAACTGGGATTTGTACAAGAATCAAGCACGTGTTAGCTTCTTTACTTATGGATCCACGGAAGGAGTGTGAGTAATCGACCGGTTCGACCTTGTTGGTGATCTAAAAGCGTTCACCTTCTCTTCGTTCTTCGATTTATCAGGTAAATATAATAATTTATGAAATATTGTAAAAATTTGATCTATATCTGATAATATTAATTATATTAACAAATAAACGTGAGAATGTTGGAACAGACATACATCGAGGGAGATTCTATTATTATTCATCTGCAAGTTAGAGTTCATAAATAAAGATGTAATTAAATGCCGTTGGCATTCGGTACTATTATAAGAAAGGGGAAGTGGTTAGGGCAAAGTAATTTTATTTGGATAACGTACGAGAAATCTTATCTTTTTTATATTTTATTATTAAATCAAATTAATATAGTATATCGTCGGTGAAATGTGTTCTAAATCTTTGCAGATTAATATTAGTAAAAAAAAAAACAAAAAGAATTTATTAAAATTCATATAGAGGTGATACGAAGTTAATTAGAAAGTAGCACGTATGATTCGTGCATACGCAGAAATATCTATTTAGTACGCGTTGATAAGGTTGAACGGATGTCGATGATTCATGTCACCGTACTCAAAACCGCATTCAAGAACGAACAGTCGAAACTTCTGAGTAAGTAAGTCAACCCAAGTTATGTTATGGTCATAAGATAAGGTCACGGTCAGGATCATGGTCCAGGACCGAAAAAGACCTTGGACGTTTTTAAAGCTCATCGAAATAATCTGATGTCTTCCTACCGCCCACATAAATACCCGTTCGTCGACCCGCGTCTATCTTTTACGGTCAACGCTCTCATTTTTCTCGCGGTCATACCGGAGAGCGTCGTCATTAAAATAATGAGAACGAACGATATCGGAAAATACGAATTCGTAGATATATTCGTAGAATTTATGATAGTAATGTTAATTAGCAAAAAAAGATTAGAAAAAAAATAAATATATATATATATATATATATATATAATTAGTTTATATTAAATTCTAGAGAATTAAATATTTTTTCTATTATTATATAGTAAATATTATTAATATCATTTTAACCGAGAATTACAAATTAAATCGTTATGGTATTTTGAAGAAAATCTAAATAACAAAAACCAATAGATCGTTTATTTAAATTTGTTGTATTGCAGACATATATTTGAGATCCCTATTTTTTTATTAATTATTATTATATTATATTTAATTTTATTACAACAAAATTTGGCAAATTTAAAATTTAACGATCGACAAAATGATGAAATTTAAAAAATTTAACAATCGAATTCTCAGTGGATATGTTAAATAAATCGTAAAATAGTATTCCTTTCGGATGTTTCATTTCTGGTATCGAAAGCCCGCTCGAAAGTGCGAGTAACGAAATGCTAATGCCAAATACGGTGCCCGAAGCTAGTGTTGTTAGCTGGTGTATGCTGTAGTCTCAACAAAACCTAGTAGAATGTCGTGCGAGAGCAATGAAAGAGAAGAAAGAAGAACAGGAAAAGAATATGAAACCCGTTAGCCGTTGGAACGCGATTCCGTTCGACGTGAGACGCGATGCTCGTTTACTCGTAGCCTTTTTTCTTTTCTATCAACTGATAGTGCGCTTGGCTTGCAGTTATATTGCAAGCAGTGTAATTAAAGTATGAAATTTAAAAATATTTTTCGAATAAAAAAAATGCCTATTAAAATTATCGTTCCTTGTAAACTTGTATTTCTTTTTTAATTTTCTTTAAAGTTAGGTAGTTCATTTATTTTCTCTTTTCATCATCCCTATGTATGTATTAACCGTTGTTAAAACTTTATTCATATTCATTAGAACATCCGATGATATATACGAAGCAACGGTGATATGTTTTTACAGTAACGTAATTAAATGTCACGTTAAATCCGGAATATGCATATGTATGTACTATAAAACGAACAGAAGATCTACATACGTACACGTCCGATAGGCTGTAAATGTAGGTCATGAAGGACGGTTAGACCTTCCTTCTTACTTTTCCTACGTTTTTATTTAAAAAATCCGTTGGTTGGGAAGGATAAAAGAAGTAGATAGGATTTAAGTGAGATTGGATCATTAGTACATCCTTCTGATAACTTAATAACAGTTTACGATTAAATAGCTTCCGTTTTATTAAATAGAGATAGAATAGAGAAAAATTTCTAGTAGATTTGTTAATTATTATTTCCGTCAAACCGTTTCAGAAATCAACGAAAAAGATGCGAGCCATCCTGTTGATGTCATTAATTACACTAGCCAGTATTAATGAAGTGGTTAGTGAGTATTTGATGGGTGGTCACCTGGACAATAATGATCCGAAAACGAAAACTCAAACGAACGAGCACGAGTACATATCTTTAGGAAGATCGACTCTACTGGACGCCCTTGACCTAGATCTTGATGCCGAAGAAAGCACCGTCGGTTCTTTCTCTTTAGCCAAGGACGATGAAGGTCCACGATATGGGCCACCATTTTCCTTCGCTTTCAATGGTGGGAGGCCTTTTTCCTTAGAAAAAGATCCTATTACTGGAAAAATCGACTACGAGAAAGCACCGGCGGTGAAAATCTTAAATTACACTGATCGTTACGAGGAAAACGACGATAATGATGAAGATAAGGAAACAAGTGAAGTGGCACTGAAAGAGGATGCTAATTTGCACACGAAGGAAAACAAGAAAATTGAGAATAAAGATCCCGACGATGTTAGTCCGAATGAGATAAATCCAAATTCACCGAGTTTTCACGACTTTCTCAATCTTCCCGTTCGTTATTCTTCCGATAAGTACACCAATGATAAATATCCACTGATCTCGAGTTCGTACGCGAACACGAAAGTTCAAAGTGGCTTGAATAGCTATAGTACATATAATCATAGGCCTTATCATCGAGAAACTACTTTATATTATCCTGTTAAAAAAACACATATCCCAAAAATAAGTACTACAACAACAACAACGACTACTACTACCACCACTACCACCATGAAACCAACTACGTTACGTCCATCGACGACGTCTACGACAGTACCAACAACTACCACAACAACGACGACTACTACGCCTTCGACTACAACGTCTACTACCACAAAAGCACCACCTGTTACCACTTGGAAACCATCAAGCACAAGTACCGTACGATATACGGCAGATAACAGTAATAATTATGAAGATATTCTTTCTTCGTTTAACATTCCTATGAAAACATTTCAAGAAACAATAAATTTCGATCATCAAAGTCCAAACAATCTCGCAGGATCTTCTCACAGAGAACCTCCTGTGGTACAATTACCTCCGAAAAAAGAAGAGTATGATATGTATGATGATTATGACATGCACGAAGAATCAAATGAAGAACAGGATTATTCGTTTGATAAGGAAGTACCTAAGGAACCAACAAGTTCAAGTACAATACCAGCTTCACCGAGTACAACTCCATCAACTATTCAATCAACCGCAAATACACCTGAAAGTACTACAATGAGACCGACTATATCATTTTCTACTTCGGCTCCATCATCACCATCGAACAACATCGTATCTACCCATCCATTACAATTTCAGGTTGTCCCACATCCAGTTACTTCAATGTCTATCGATTCCGATGATCGTGAACTGCCAACCTTTGAGAATGTTGTCGATAATCGAAGACCTGGAATGTTTGATGGTATGATTTCCAATGTGGGAGGACATCAGATTATTAATCAACGACCACTTGGAATGGGTGGACAAATTCTAGTAGGAAGTACGAGTAACATTGTTGTTCCACCAGATCAGGATACGGTGTCTTTCGTACTTGGAAATAGGCAAAATGTGGAGGGCGGAGGTTACTATTCACCTGGTACAGCAATTGGTGAGAATCCTTACGGAGGTTTGACAGGGGCAGAAGCATCGTTTAGACCATTATACGGTGAAGTGTCAACTGATCAAGATGGTTATGAGCTTGAGACTGATCCACAAAGAACGGTAGCTCTTCCATCGGTAGCCGTTGAATCTACTTTCGGGTATAGTCCACAAAAACAGTGGCCACCGAATTCAGGACCACCTTTGAAAAATAACAACGAAATCGAGTCATCAAGAATACAATCCTCTATCGTTCGAGGTACTGTTCTAATGGAACAGAAAGATGTTCGAAATGAGGAAAAAGATCCTAATCGCGTAACTTTTCCTAAACCAGAAGAAGAAAAACATTCGGTTGAAGAACATATTGTCATTATTAACGAAGCTGATGGTACAGTTCAAGAATTCCCACCTTCAACGACGATATTACCTTTAAAAATTAACAATAAGCCAGATTCTGTTTCAACAATGGACGATCATCTTCCTCAACTTTCTGAAAATCTTACACCACCTGCTGAAAGACCAAGGCCACCTCCATCTTATTATTTCCATTATCAGCATGGTGGAACTATAAGACCCGAATACCCAAGACCACCTCAAAGACTTCCTTTACCTCCTGCACGTGGAAAACCATTTCCCCCTCCTCCCCTTCCACCACCTGTACCTGATTCCTTAGCGATCCGAAGACGACCATATCCTTCTGACACAAAATTACCGAACATATTGCCACAATTCAGGCCAAATGCAAAAGTCTCACATGGTCATCGTAATTCAGAAAATATAGGTACAATACCAGCACCGCAACCATATCTTAATAGGGTTAGACAAACGTCTCACGTTCATCCCCCATCGAGAAGACCTTTACTACCTGCGCCATCATATCTTCAAAGATTGAATCCACCCCCACCACCGATTCATGCTATCAGACTTGCTGGATCATCTTCTACAATAGCAGAAAATATTGCCCCTGTTCAAGAAAGTGAGCCAATGGTCAAGAGATTTCGTTATCCATCAGCAGTACAACCAACTTCCAGAGGAGAGAACGACGAGAATACAAATCAGCCGAATCGGTTGCCAGGTCAAAAGCAGAAATTGCGATTGGAGGATGAAGAGACATCCGAGCGGTATTCAGAGGAACCACCTCAAATGCCACCAAGGCCACCTTTGTTCCCGCGGCGTAGAACGGCAGATCCACCACGAGTTACCACCTTACAAATGATTCAACAACGAGGAGAGCTCGAAGAAGACGAAGAGGTAACAGGTTTGGCAACTTCCAGTAATAACGATCCAGATCAAGAGGTTAAAATCTCGATGGGTCAAGAAATAGAACATAGAAAAGATGTTCGCGATTCAGTAGCCGAGGCACCGGTTTACGTAGTATACCCTGTGAACACTGCGGTTAATATAGATCCTGATGATTCTGGGGATAAAGACGAGAGTGTGGTAGTGGGAACTAGAGGACCACATCGTCCTCTTCCACCGGAGACTCTTCTTCGAGATGATAAGGACAGAGAGAAGATCAATGAGGAGGAGTCGACAATGGTCGATCTTTACAACGGTCGTCCTGTCGGAGATTTTTCCTATTCTCTTGATAGAGTAGATCCTTCCATATACGCTGGACCCGTGAGAGAAACACCCATACTTGTTCCGAGCGATCAACGTCATGAGAGTCGCCCGTTGAACGAAAGGGATGAGGAAAAGGAAGATAGTGATCACGTAAATGTTATACCTTATCTGCAAGATTTCGTTCCTTTTTCAAGAAGAAAAAATGAAGGCGTTATCTCAGCAACTCTTCATCGTATGCCAAGCAATAATCATCCATCGTCAACACCAATAGCTTATGTTTACACACCTACGGCTGAAGCATCTCATCGTCTAGATGTCGACGTTAAAGATGATGGGTCGAAAATTAATAGAAACGATCAACGACCGGTTCTCTTGCCCTCTCAGCAACCTTCGAGTTCTTCAAGTTCTGCCCCATCTCCACAGAATTTCATGGCACCATTTGTGGCCAGTCTGAGAGCCGAAGCCCCAGCTAAAAATGGTTGGAATGTTGTTGTTATCGAGTCTAAAGATAAAACGACATCTAACGATGAAAAGACTGATGATGTTGTCGATACGGATGATGAATCGTCAAAAAAAAGCGAGTTCGATCCGGAGAACTTCAAACCACAACTTTTCGGTGGATTTAAACCAATTTTTGAATTTCCTATGGATAATGATGATAATACGGAAAAACGTGAAAGTAGTAATGATAATTCTTCAATATCGAAAAACATACAACAAGAGGCTGTTGATTCTGCTGCTTGATGAAAACTCTATAGGAATATAGAGAATTTATGGGTATCATAAAATATAAATCTTTCGTTGGAAATATCTCTTCGATCACCTGTATTTCTTTTGGCGTTTCTCATCTTAGACTAGATCGATTATTTATCCCAAGTAAGAAATCTACGGGATAAAAATATATCTTTTGTTATAAATTAGAATTATTTAATATGCGTCTGAATTTGTTAAATTTTCGATGTAGAGTTTAATTTAAGAATAGAATAAACAATAGAAAGATATCGAAGAAACGCAAAAAGAAATTATTGTCGAAGAAAAAGCATTCCAAAATCTTGCGCTGTGGTGTTTGGGATCTATTGGTTGATCATTACGGGGAAAAATATAATAGCGGTGCGAGATTAGATTGTCTTAGATCTTCGATGATACTAATTTTATCAGAATCATTGAGGTTTCTTTTATTAATTATATGAGAAATATAATAATAATGATCGGCATGTTACATTTCATTTATAAAATGTTGTGTAATTTTCACGAGATCTTTCACATTTGTGTATTAAGGTCGAAGATAAATTGGATCGTGTATCTCGTGATAATAATATTATATAATTACACGTATTTATTTAATTATTTAATTATATGTTAAAATATATTTTTATATACGTACTTGTTGATTACAAGTATCATGTTGACTGAAGTGTGTAGGATATCTATGTAGTAGTTATATTATATTTATGTATCCAATTTTTTCTCTTATTTATAATGTAATTGTAAAATATATCGATGCTTTTTAACAGCAGCCATAGATATAACATATCACGAATAAAATTCGAAATAATTTTATTCTTTATTTTCATTTTATTCATATAAATGCTCTTTGTAAATGAAATCCTGTCTCTAATACATTTAGTACAAAAAGTAATCTTTACAGTTGTATTTCATATATATTATATAACATTCTATAAACTGTACATTCCTTTCAAATATTGATATATTGTATCTCACAGATAGATCTTATCTAATATGCATTCTATGATATTTATATAATACTGAATATTTTTTTAATTCAACAGACAAAACTTTCAAGTTTCAGAAAAAGATTTCCAAAAATAGGTCAACGATTTTTTATTATTTTTTGATATTTTTGGTTTATATAAAACATTTAATAATAATAGAAATTAACCTTTTATACAAAAAAAAGTTGAGATATTGTTACAAAAATATGTTTTTACATTTTAACATTACATTGATTTGCAATAGCAAATTATTAAACTAATTTAATTCTCGTATATCACATCGTCATTAAAAATATTAGGTATAATATATTATATAAAAATTTGTTCATAATCTATTATCAATAATGAAATACTGATACACTTATTCACTATGAATAAAACTTTGTAATTAATATTTTAAAACACATATCTCTGCGAAAATGACGATTTATTGTAAACGATTGTCTTTCTGGCAGTGAGCGGTTTTAAACGTCATAAAATTATATATGTGTACTTGTCAATAAAAATATTATATTATATTTGAAAAGAATGAAAAAATGATTGTTTATCTATTACTGTATTTACTATTGAATAAACGAAGATCTAGTTTTAAAATAACGTCACCTTTTTCAACTTCTCGTAACTTGAATCGTTGTAAAATAGGTCCACGAACATTTTTACTGTCTCTCATGATATCTGCTACCCTAATTTCTGCACGGCCTAAGAATTCTGTGTTGCAAATATTTTATATATTAAAATTTATAAAAATGTATAAAGTAAAATTTATATATAAATTGTAAATAGTATAAAATATACCATCAGGACTGTAATAGCCTTTGTCAAATACTGTGATACAAAGAGTATCTTCGTGTAAATCCTTAACTAGAAACTGCATAGATGTATCCCATAAAGGACAATCTGTTTCTGAAACAACACTAGTTCTTTCTTCTTGGGATCCCATAGAAACCTTACAGAATGTATTACATTTTCCTGTACGAAAGTTATTTGATTATTAAAATTAAAATTAGAAATATTTATTTTTTATTTATATTTTACATATTTTCTTAATAATTAGTTTCTATTATATAGCGTTTCTTTATTAAAGTATGACATTTACTTATATATGTATATAGAGCTAATAAACCATAGATTTAAAATAGAACAGAAAGAAAGAAGATTAAAATACATTCAATGCTGCAAATTATTAAATAGAAATAGTTATTAAGCTTATTAAATCAATGCGTGCAGATTAAACAAATATTAAAGTTTAATGATATATATGTGTGATAGATTTTTGCTTTTTCATACACGAAGTGTAAAAATATATACATTGCTGGAAAATGTAAAGCTTTACCTGTTTTTATAGCAAGTTCTTCAGCTTCCACTACAATTAATCGAAGATAGCCTTGCGGTGGTTTTCTACAAACTATAACCATGCAATATTTTGTTAGTAAGTGTAATGAGCAAACAAGCATTAGAAAAGTCATTCTATTGTCACATGAGTTGTTTTCTTCAGATTTCCAATATATTTGTCCTCTTGATAAGATTTAAATACACATGCAGTTACACACAAGTCAAAATAATAATAAAGCATAAAAGCAAGCATAGCAGCAAGCAACATAAAAAACATGCGCTTGCTTACCAGACGGTGCTTTCAAGTTGGAACCTTCAAACACAGTTACAAGAATACGTCCACATGCTCCAAACTGCGCCTGCTCTGTTTATTCATATATGTGACATGTTATTGCACATTTTGATATCTTAATTGATAAAATATTGCGTATATTGTATAATAGACCGGACATTATGACCGTCATAAAATCACGCCGATTAAGATGGACTGGCCACGTGGCGCGTATGGGTGAGGAACGAACTGCGTATAAAATACTTACTGGTATATCCAATGGAAAAAGATCATTAGGTAGATCAAGGCGTAGATGGGAGGACAATATTAGGAGGGATATTAAGGAAATGGGATATGAGGATCGCGAATGGAGGGATCGCGCTCAGGAACGGGAACACTGGCGGGATTTGGTATATGCGGCAATGAGCTTTCGAGTTCCCAACGCCACTTAATAATAATAATAATAATAATAATAATAATAATAATAATAATAATTGATAAAATAGATAATTTTAGAAACAACAAGCGTCAATGGAAAGCTAACAAATCGTAGCTACGTAGCGATTTGTTTATTTACTATCGTATGATTTTAAGTCATTTATGAAATAAGACTAATTATATTGTAATATGAAAACGATAAACGTATTGACAATAATATGACAGTAAACATGGCATTATGAAAAAAAAAAACTCACTTGATCGCTGTCTCTGTAGACGAGTCTTTTCATTTTCCATAAACGTTCTGCGTGCTTCGGTAATTCTTTTCTTCCATAATGAACATTCACTTGTTGATGGTGCTATCAATATTATCGGCTTTTTTGAATCTTTAAGTCTCAAAGTTTTAGATGTATTATCTAAGACATCCAATCCATTTATACTTCCACTTCCACTTGTATCTAAATCGGATAGCAATGATAATTCATTAAGAAATATCGGCTGCAAGACGAAATCATAATTAATATTGAAAATATTTTTATTTCAATAATATTTATTATATTTTATATTTTATAGGAGATTCATTAATATACCTTCCTGTACATTTTAAATCTTTGGTGTTTATTACGCTCAAACGAAAATTGTTGTCCACTTGGTAAAGATTTTGTTGGTTGTGCAAATAATAAAAAATCATTTGTTAAAAAACTAACGAGTTCTTTTCCACTCTTGGCCTAATATAAATATGGAAATTATTTCTTAAAAATAATCTATAAATTATAATTATACTTCTCTCTCTCTCTCTCCAATTAAAGCAAAATTTTCATTTTATAATACCTTATGAAGAATACCATAATGTAATAATTTTCTTGGTCCTAGTGAATTGGTTAGAGAATTAAATACAAGTTGCTCTTCAAGACCATCAGATACAATATGATTTTGCAGCCATTCTAGTCTATCACTATTTTCTTTTTCTCTTACACCTTCATTTACCTAAAATTAAATGATACGAATTAGATAAAATAACTAGCCTTCTATGAAATAAAGATAATATTTTATTAGTAATTCTACTTGTGTACAAAATTCTTCAGCTCTGGCTAATGCTTCTTGAAGATACTGTCTATCTGGATGATCAGGTGGTGTGTGTTCTAAAATCTATAATTTTCATTAGAAGAAATTAATATTTAATTAGTATTTAAGAATGAAGATGCATAAATAAAAATAAGTCTTACTTTATTAATAATAAGTGGATATTTTGTAATCCTTTGCATAGGTTTAATTAAAAACGAGCTAAGTGGCATTCCTTTGGTTCTTGGATCTTGCTGACAAGCATGCGCAACTGCAACGAATTCTGGTAAAGTTTCTGTTAATCGTTGAAGGTATGCAGCAGCAGATATTTGACAACTACAAAATCTTATATAAGCTGACATTCTTGGTATCTGAAAGTTTATTAAATATAAATAATGAACAATTCTATGAAATTAGAAATATATATATATATTTTTATAGTAAATACAAACATACATTCTCACATAAAATATCACCAATCATTCTAACAATTCCACCTTCACTGTTTTCTCTTCTTATCCTTAAAGTCCTAGGAATAAAAAAAAAAGTTAATATGCATACTTTTCTTGTTTTGTTCTTTTAAAATGATTACCTTAAAAAATTATCATTACAGGCTATAATATCTCTCCAGTTTACAAAGATTTTATCCACCTCATCTAAAGTTAAAACTAAACTTTCAATAAGAGGTTTCTCAAACACCTATAAAATCAAACAGAAATTAAAATAAGAATATCTTGTAAAAAAATTGTGTGAATAATATTTCTTTTTACGATTATAAATAAATTGTTAATAAAACATTCAAAAATATGACATGATAAAAGATACCTCATGTACTAGTCTCATATCTTCTATATATGCTTGTTCAGTTGTAATAAGTTCTTTTATATATTCTTGACGTTTTCTCTCCATTGGATCAAGCCTTGCCATTAACAGTTCAGTTGTCAGCTTACTTGCTACACATAAAATTTATAGAAGGATTTTCTGGATTATTTAATTATACTTAAATTTGTTATAGTCATTTTTGTTTCAAGGATATGTTATCCTATTGGGAAGGTCATTATCTCAGAAACAAAAAAATTGTTTAACTTGGCGACAAAATAAAACAATTTATTTTACCTCTACAGAAAAATCTAAAGAACAGCATCAGAAAATAAATAAGAAAAATTAGAGATACTTAAAAGAAAATATTCTATTAATTTATACCATGTATATTATTTTGGATAATATAAATTATAAATAATTTTATACGAATATAATAAGCTTTTCATAAAATATTTGGAAAGTAGGAAACTCATCCAGGACAAACACGCACGAATAAACATATAAGAAGTATACATATCATGTTTGGGTAATACTGAATGACACACACTTGGTCCGCACTACAGTACTTTACAACAGATAGATACTTTATTTCAATCAGCGTTTTTAAGAACGTGTCTGCATATGTGTATAGATATGTATACATATGTATAGAACAAATTTGTATATATGCATGTGAGAAGACAAGAGCAAGTCATACAAAGTATGAACAAAATCCATATAAAATTAAGCAGTGACTTGTGATTTTGTTCAAACTCTCACAATGTCCTCCATGGAGAAGTACATATTATTTTACTGAGATTCATTTATGAGATTTGATATTACAACAAACAATGTGGATAGACTGCAAATGGTAACAATCTTATTGTTAGAGATAATAAGCGCTACACAGGTATTTCTCTAAAGATAATCAGTTGCACAACTTGCTTTACACATCATCAACATGTTTAGATAAAGATTACATTGGGCGTATATTTAGAGT